TCAGTACAATATTTCAGTTAGTTTTTCAGTCCAGTCAGTTCAGTATGCCGGTATCAGTTCAGTCCGGTTTTCTTGTCAGTTAAGTTAAACCCCGAGATAATGTCAGTTAAATGTTTGGATCGAGTTGAGCATCTTAACAGCTATTTTCAGTCAGTCTGAGCATAGTACTTAGTATTTGTTTATTTATATATATTTTACAAATTGATCAGCAGCAGCATTTACAGTTTAGCAGTTCAGGTGGGAACTCAGAATAAGTATTACATTGATTATAATTACGCAACCACGTTTAAAGGTATGTATATGAGATTATCCACTTTGGGTGGAGGTGCAGTAGCCTTAATTGCCCATCCAAAGTTCTGATGGAGGCGCAAGGCCTTAAGTATCCATCAGAGTGTGCACATGGCGGACATAGTGTCCAAGACAGTTCAGCTCAGTTACAGACCTTGTCTCTGGAGATTACAGCTTACTTATATATACATGCAGCCATGATGTTGTTATTATTAATGTTTAATTTAGTATGAGTTTCTGCGGAGCACAGTGGCTTTAGTGCTCACGCTCCCACTTTATGATCTTTTTCAGGTGACAGGGTCGGTCCAGAGGAGTGAGCTGGGCAAGTGGTTGTTGGTTCAGTAAATATGTTTTTGCAGATTTATGATATGTGTATTATTTTCCATTTTGACTTCTGCTAATGTTTTCAGACTTTCAATCTGGCATGTCAGTTCTTGAATTTTGATCCGAACATTTGGTCGGATTTATACAGTATGACGCACTAATAAAGGATATTCTTGTTTTTCTAAATAAGTTCAATTTAACTAAGTTAACGGATTTTCAAAAAGAAATGTATTATTTGTAGCATCCCAAATCATGTTTTCACAAACTAATAAGTATTTATTGGAAAAGAATTTGCGACAATTGCACTCTGATTTTAATAAGCTAGTGGGGTGTTACAAATGGTATCAGAGCACGTTTTTGTGTATCTGAATATGTTATTAAGTCAGAAAAATTTCAGAAAAGAACCGACCACGCTACGCTCACACCTCGCCGACTATAGGTAAGTGCTGAGTTACAGTTTATATATTTTAAACGGATGCTTTAGTCTATGCTCAGTAAGGGGTGTAAGATATTTAACCCTAGAAACCAGTAAGATGCTCGAATTAGTGATCCAGTATAAGTCGATTGTCCCAGTTATTTGATATTTTGACTTTAGTTTTCTCGGGTTAATATTAGCAACTCGTCAAGAGATCTGTGCGCATTAATAATCAGTAAAGTATTTTATCATGTCTGTGTCTGATTATGTTGATCTTTCCAATACTCAGATGCCGCCTCGTACAGAACCAGGTCATCAGGAGCTCCCTCAGGCCACAGTAGTCGCACACTTTCGCGACTACCATCCAGAAAAGTTTTTCGGCCAAGGGGATCCGCGTATAGTGGACGAATGGGTTCAGGGCCTTGAAATGATTTTCGAGGTCATGGACTGTCCGGATCATTATCGTGTGATATGCGCACAAATCCAGCTGACCGGTGATGCCCGACTCTGGTGGAATGCCCATTGGGGTATGCGTCCCGGCGAGAAAGAAAATTTTACATGGGACCAATTCAAGGAGTTGATCTGCGGGAAGTACTATCCTTCGTACTACCGAGCAGATATGGAGCGTCAGTTCTTGGCACTCAGACAGGGTACTCGTTCTGTTGACGAGTACGAGAGAGAGTTTACCCGACTCGAATCCTTTGTATCTGATCTTGTGAGTACAGAGGAGAAGAGAGCTCTTCGTTTTACCGACGAACTTCTCCAAGCAGTCCGCCACAACATCGTAGGTCACGGCGTCCAGACCTACGCCCGCACAGTCGCCATTGCCCAGTAGATAGATGCCAGCATTCGACGAGAAGCTAATCTGACTTTATCCCAGCCAGTTGCTCAGCCACCAGCCCAGCCCAACGTTGGCCAACCATCAAAGAATCAGAAGAATTTAGAGGAGGCCCAGACGATCGGAGGAATCGCCCCAGACAAATACCTAACTGCCCGACATGTGGAAAACACCACCGTGGAGAATTCCTTGTAGGCCAGAACATCTGTTTCTTTTGTCGCCAGCCAGGCCATATCAGCCCTAACTGCCCAGAATGACTGCAACAACAACGAAAGCCACCTCAGCAACCTCAACAACAGCAGCAACCTCGACAACAACCACCACGACCCCAGCAGCAGCAACGCGACAGACAGCAGGCTCGCGTCTTTGCAGTTGATCAGAGAGAGGCCGACCAGCACCGAGGTACCATGTCTGGGATAATTATTCTTAATGATGTGCCTGTTTATGCCTTATTTGACACCGGAGCGACCCATTCTTTTATATCACACCGATGTCTTGAAGCTATAGGAGTTCATTTTCTTACTACTGTCGATCCTCTCGAGGTGAGTTTAGCCTTGGGACGAAAGATAGTGACTGACGCCGGAGCCACCGATCTCAGCCTTTCCATCGGCGGCCGTATTTTGACTTCTGATGCTTATGTTATCGAGATGAGGGATTTTGACCTCATACTCGGTATGGATTGGCTAACACGTTTTCACGCAGATATCCAATGTCATGACCGGGAGATTACTCTTTATCTTCCGAGAGATGATCAGATCACTTATTTCGGCTCCAGGACTCGTACTCTGCCCCATATTATTTCTATGGCGAAAGCCAGGAGGATTCTTCGACAGGGTGATTGCCAGGGTTACCTTGTGAGCCTCGTTTGAGATGAGCCAAAAGCACGTTCACCTCATGAAATTCGTATTGTTCGTGAGTTCGTGGACGTATTTCCAGACTAGCTTCCCGGAGGTCCACCTAACCGACACGTGGAATTTTCTATTCATCTTATCCCTGGAGCCGGACCCGTTTCTAAGGCGCCGTATCGAATGGCACCTAAAGAATTGCAGGAGTTAAAGACCCAAATTCAAGAGTTGTTGAATCTCGGTTTTATTCGACCGAGCGTCTCACCTTGGGGAGCACCAGTTCTCTTTTTCAAGAAGAAGGACGGATCTATGCGTATGTGTGTCGACTACCGAGATCTTAACCGGTTGACAACCAAGAATAAATATCCGCTTCCCAGGATCGATGATTCATTTGATCAGTTGAGGGGTGCTTGTGTATTTTCTAAGATCGATGTACATTCAGGCTATCATCAGCTGAAAATCAAGGAGTCAGATATACCTAAGACAGCGTTTCGTACGAGATACGGTCACTTCGAGTTTATGGTTATGCCGTTTGGCCTCAGTAATTGCCCGGCAGTATTCATGGACTTGATGAACCGTGTATTTCATCCTTTTCTCGATCAGTTCGTTATTGTATTCATTGATGATATCCTTATCTATTCTAAGAGCCAGAAAGAGCATGAGGAGCATCTAAGGGCCGTTCTTACGACCCTTAGACGAGAAAAGTTGTACGCAAAGTTCTCCAAGTGCGAATTTTTGCTTCAGCGAGTGGCTTTTCTTGGCCACATTATCACTCAAACAGGCATTGAACTAGATCCTTCCAAAATTGCTGCAGTTCAGAACTGGTCAGCACCAAAGAATCCGTTTGAGGTTCGTAGTTTCCTCGGCCTTGCAGGTTATTATCGCAGATTTATTGAGGGGTTCTCGAAGATTGCCCTCCCTTTGTCCAAGTTGACGAGGAAGTCTGTGACGTTTGAGTGGACAGACCGTTGTGAGTCGAGTTTTCAGGAGCTGAAAATAAGACTTACGACAGCACCGGTGTTGACTATTCCCGATCCTTCTTGGAGTTTCACCATCTAGTGATGCTTCGAAGCGAGGTTTGGGGTGTGTACTTATGCAGGATGGCCAGGTTGTAGCATATGCTTCACATCAGTTGAAGCCCCATGAACAGAATTATCCTACTCACGACCTGGAGTTAGCTGCAGTGGTACACGCACTTAAGATATGGCGGCATTATCTTTATGGTGGTCGATGTGAGATTTACACCGATCACACGAGTCTGCAGTATATTTTCATGCAAAAGGAGCTCAACATGCGTCAGCGACATTGGTTGGAGCTTGTTAAAGATTATGACTGCACGATTCAGTATCATCCAGGGAAAGCAAATGTTGTAGCTGATGCCTTGAGCCGAAAGGTAAAAGGCGAATTATCTTTTTCTATTACTCAGCAGCGTTATCTTATTCAAGACTTTGCCGGATGCAAATTCAGGTCGTCGAGTCGCTTCCTGCAGTGATTACAGGGAGTGTTAGCTCGATGCAAATTCAGCCCACGTTGAGAGACAGAATCCGGCAGGAGCAGGCTCATGATCAGTTTATTCGTGCTATTAAGGCCAAGCTCCACACCGGAGGAGTCGAAGGTTTTTCTCGAGGCGCAAATGGCGCCTTAGAGTTTCGAGGCAGGATTGTAGTGCCGAAAGTCGAGGCTTTGCAGAAGGAGATCTTGACAGAGGCACACACCGTGCCTTATCTAGCTCACCCCGGCAGTACCAAGATGTATCACGACCTGAAAGGGTCTTTCTGGTGGAGGGGTATGAAGAAAGATGTTGCCAGTTTTGTAAGGAGGTGTTTGGTCTGTCAGCAAGTTAAGGCCGAACATAAGAGCCCCTTAGGACTTCTACGACCACTTGAGATTCCAAAGTGGAAGTGGGAGGAGATTTCGATGGATTTCGTTACAGGACTGCCCAAGTCGTCCGAGCGCCACGATGCGATTTGGGTGGTAGTGGACAGATTGACGAAAGTCGCACATTTCCTACCTGTATCGATGACCATGTCGATGGAGAAGTTAGCCGAGATTTATACCCGTGGGATCGTTCGAATCCACGGAGTGCCCGTTCACATTGTGTTAGATCGAGATTCCAGATTCACCAGTAGATTCTGGAAGAGTTTACACGAGGCGATGGGCACGCAGTTGTAGTTCATTTCGGCTTACCATCCAGAGACAGACGGTCAGACATAAGGAATTATTCAGATGCTCGAGGATATGCTCAGATTATTGATTTTAGACAGAGGTGCTAAGTGGGAGTCGCTTTTACCATTAGTTGAATTCGCCTATAACAACAGTTATCAGGCGTCGATCCAGATGGCTCCTTTCGAAGCACTATACGGGCGTAAATGCCGCTCGCCCCTGTATTGGGACGATGTTGGCGAACGTCGAGTACTCGATCCAAAAATGATCGAGGAGATAGCTGAGCAAGTCGAGCTTATCAGGCAGAGGCTTAGAACAGCGCAGAGTCGGCAGAAGTCATCGACCGACAAACATAGACGTGACATTTAGTTTGAAGTCGGAGAACGAGCTTTTCTCAGAGTTAGCCCATTTTGCGGAGTTATTCGATTTGGGAAGAGAGGGAAGTTACACCCTCGGTTCATTGGCCCGTTCGAAGTTCTCGAGTGAGTGGGCGAAGTTGCGTATCGATTAGCCTTACCTCCCGAGTTATCCAGTGTTCATAATGTTTTTCATGTATCTATGTTACGTAAATACGTGTGCGACCCCGATCATGTTATTCCGTATACCGATGTTTAGATCCATCCAGATCTATCTTATGAAGAGCGACCGGTAGCAGTGTTGGACCGACAGGTTCGGCGGCTCCGGAAGCGTAATGTTCCCCTTATTCGTGTTAAGTGGGATCGCCACGGAGCTACTTGGGAGCAGGAAGCAGATATCCGTGCTCGTTTTCTTGATTTCCAGTTTTGATGTATATACTTTTCTTGTATCATGTATATATGTTCAGTTGTATATTTCCTAGGACGGAAATAATTTAAGGGGGGTAGATTGTAATAACCCAGTTTCTTATGAATAAAAGCGATGTACTTCCTTTTATTATTCTCGTTCATTTTCAGCGAATAAGTTCGACTTTAAGTCGAAAAGTCAATTCGGTTAATTATTAACCGAGTCAAAGTCGATAATTAATTTCCAAACCGTTTATTTTATAAACGAATATTATTAATCGGGATTGATTATTGAAAGTTAAGAATGTTCGGATTTAATTTCGAAGTCAAATCAAGTTAAGTCATGAATGTACACAAGGTACACTATGCACGC